AGCCAGTTTTGGTTTGTGATTTTTGGTCTAAGTCTTATTCCGAAAATTAAGTAATTTTTTCTGAGCCAAAACAGTTCAGTTAAGTATACCAGTTTAAATTCAGGAATTTGTATTATTTTAGAGAATCTTTAGAGTGTTTCTTTATATCTGGATAAGTTATCTAATAGAGTTGAGCATCCTAGCAATTTATTGAGTATATGAGCATAGTATTTAGTATATTTGTTTATATTTTGATGTAGCTTGCAGATACAGCTACCCAACACAGCACTTACAGTTTTCAAAAGTTTTCAAAAGGAGAACAGGTGGGGACCCAGTCTGGGTATTACATTGCTTATAATCTTGTACCATGTATGAGAATGTATGTAAATATTTTCCCGAACGGTCAAGTTTCCGTTCGTGGTCCAGTTAAGATGAGTTTATGATCACCCGGTCTTGTATGGAAGGTTTTTCCATCCTGGGTTTCTGGGGAGACGACCCCCAGAGTGTGATCACATGATAATCCGGACAATTCTCGGATGTTGCATCAGTAAAGTAAAGTTTTATTTATGTATATACTTAGTTCATGATATTGGATTATATGTGCTGTATATTCAGTATGGGTTTTTACGGAGTACAGTGGATTAGTACTCACGCCCCACTATTATCATTTTCAGGTAACCGTGTCGGTGCAGAGGTGTGAGCTGAGCAGTGGTGGTGGGGTCGTGGATTCAGAATATTATACTTACGAACACATTTATTTATACTGTCTGTATAATATGATGTTACGTTTTCCAGATTTTCGCTACGCATTTCAAGTTTCGAACCTGCATGTTAAGTATTTTCAGACTTACAGATTTTAACCAGTTCAACAGTATGAACAGGGTCTAGTTTACATGCATGATTGATTAAATATGTTTTCCTTATATCTAAAACAGCAGTTAGAACAAGTTTAAAGAAAAAAACGGATTTTCTAGACAAGATAAGTTTTAGTAGCATCCCGAGTAAAGCAAAAGATTTCGAAAAATTTATAAGCATTTTTGAAGTAAAAGTTGCGAAAAATTTACTCTGTTAAGCGGGGTATTACAAACAGACTATAATTGTGACTTTTCAACATAATGGTGTTGTTGAGAGGATAGATCGTACTTAAAAGGATTTGGTTAGGAGTATGTTGAGCAATTCAACATTAACGTTTTCTATGTGGATGCATGCATTAAAGATTGTTGCATATTGGGTAAACTGGGTTCTTAGTAAAGTAGTTCTTATTTTGAACTATGGAAGGGTAAGAAACCTAGTTTAAGGCATCATCATGTTTGGGGTGTCAAGCAGAAGTAAACGTATATAATCCACATGAAAAGAAACTTAAACCTAGGACAACCAGTGGTTATTCATTGGGTATTCGAAAAGTTCTAAAGGATATAAGTATTATAGCCCTAACCATAGCACGAGAATAGTTGATTCCGACAATGCTCGATTCATTAAAAATGATCAAATCAGTGAGAGTTTGGAACCGCAAAGTTTGGATGTCAAAGAAACTTGGGTTGAACAGTCCAACCCGAGAGTCCATCAATGGTTGTTGTTTTTCTAGTTACAATAGCGTCATATAACGTAGATGAATAACAAAATGATCGAAACTCACTTGATAATGAATCAATCACAAGACATGAAAAGTGTAAATTCTGAAAAGCTGATTAATGCCATGAATGAAGTATTAAAGTCAATGGAAAACAATAAAGTCTGGAATTTAGTAGAGTTACCTAAAGGGTTTAAAAGAGTTGGGTATAAATGAGTCTTGAAAAACCCAACGCGACTCTGAATGTAATATCGAAATATATAAAGTAAGATTTATTGCTAAAGGTTACACCCAAAAGGGAATGCATTGGCTACACGGAAACATTATCTCTTGTTTCAAGAAAGATTCATTGAGAATTGTAATGGTAATGGTGACTCTGTATGATTTTGAGCCTTACCAATTGGACATAAAGACCAGCTTATAAATGATAAACTTAAAAGGAGATCTACATGAACTAATTAAAAGTTATTTAAATCACACGAAATGAAACGTTAGTGTGTAAGTAGAATAGATTGATATATGGACTAAAACAAGCCTCTCGTCAATAGTATCTTAAGTTTAATGATATCATCACTGTTTATGGTTTTGTTGAGAATACCGTAAATTGGTTTATCTACATTAAGGTCAGTGGGAGTAGACCCGTTATTTTAGTTCTGTATGTAGATGACATATTTATAGTTGCTAATAATGTGGACATGTTGCACGAAGTAAAGAATTATCTCTCCGAAAATTATGAAATAAAGGATATGGATGAAACGTCCTTGGTAATTGGAATAAAAATATTTCGGAATAGATCACAAGGACTAAAAGTTTATCCCATAAAAGTTTTATTCAAGAGTTTTGGAGATATTTACAATGGATGGTTATTCCGTATAATTCCAATTCATAAAAGGGATACATTTAGTATATAATAAATATCCGAAAGGTGAAATGAAAGAAAAGTGATGGAGAAAATTCCTGAAATATAAATGATTAGGAGTCTTAAGTGAAACGAACCTATACTAGGTTTGATAACATATTTGTTGATGGTACATGAAACAAATATATAAAAGTAATCCATAAATGATTATTTAAATGCTGCAAAGAAATTGTCTAAAGTATTTACAATGCATTAAAGAACACATGCTAACTTAAAGAAGATCCAAATTATTTGTTATAATTAGATACTCGGATTCAAAATTTTGTTCATAATGTCTAATGGAGCAAGATTATGGAGAAGTGGAATAAAGTCCATCATCTTGACGTCCACGATTAAGTTTGAGTTTGTGGTGTGCTTTGAGGTCACAATTCAAAATTTATAGCTACAAAACTTTATCTTAGGACTTGGAAATGTCGACACTTTGTCCAAGGCGCTAAGAAATTATTGTGGTTTTGTAGTAATAATATTTTAAGGAATGACAAGTATTCAAAGGGTGTGAATCACATAAAATTGAAATATTTGGTCGTAAAAGTAGAAGTGAAGAAATTAAGTGTCATTTGATCATTTTAGTACTAACTGCATGAAAGCGGATCCACTAATGGGTTATTCCCTATAGCTTTTGCAAGACCTATAAAGAAAAGTGGGAATAACGAAGGGGACATATTTTGATTAATAATATTAGTACACTGCTGCTTTTTTTCTCTCCCTTGACCCGACGAAAACCCTAGCTTCCGACAACCAAATTAGCCGCGATTAGCCTTCTCCGGCGAAGGGGCGGCTCAGGCCAGTGGTCACCCTCGACCGCTCGGCCGTCCCTGCCATCGCGCCTCTTTGGATTTTGCTGCTAAGGGTCGCCTCCGAGGTGTGCTCTGCCCAAGGTCGCCGGCAAACTGTGACGGAAGTGGTGTTCGATCAGAGGCGGTTGGTTTCCCTGGATGCCGGCGAGCTTTGATTGGATGGTTAGCCACTCAATTGCAGAGGGTCGATGCTTGGAGGTTCATCGGTTCAGGGTGGGCTTCTGGGTGTGGATTTTGGGGCTCGAGCTCGCGATGGCAGCGGCCTGCGGTGGTGTTGAGAGGTGTATTGGTCGGCGGGCGGTTCGAGGCTCCTGCGGCCGTGATGTACTCCGTCCGGGTGCGGGAGTAGCAGGTACGAGTAGCTCTCTTTACATCTGTTTTCGCTGGTGTTGGAAATTGGTGGGCCCGGCGCCTATTAGCTCGGCTAGTGGTGTTAGGCGAGCTAGTGCGGGGCTGTTGCAGGGAGCTGGTTGTCCTCTCGGTCGAAGGTGGGTTGATTCGGGTTAGTCTCGTGGTCCGGGTTTGGCTTTTGTATAGGCGTTCGGCAGCAGTTTCGGAAGTTGGGCCTCGGGCTTGGGATCTTTCTTGGATTAATTGGTTCTCTACTGGTTCAATCTGCTTTATTTGCTGGGGAAGGGCACTATGAGTTGTATTTAGATGTTTTGTTGTTTTTTTAGTTTGTGTTTTGTCTGTATTGTGTTGTCTGTGTTTGTGTTTTTGTATCTGTGTCCGTGTTGTTTTTGTATTTTAGGTCTGGGTCACTTGGCCCCTGTGCGAGGGATTACTCCATTGGAGTCGTCCCATATTACCTCGTTGGGGGTCATTCCACATTACCTCGTTGGGGGTCGTACTGCAGTTAGGTCGTTGGTGTTGTGTTATTGTGAGTTTCTTTTCTAGCGTTGCTAGTCGTCTCTAGGCGGTCTTTTAGACCTGTCCTCCCAGTTTTATTCAGCTGTTGGCTGTATTATTCAGCCATGGGCTGTGTATTTTGCACATTTGTGCGTTTTTGTTATATAATATTTTCTATCGTTTCGTAAAAATAAAAAATAAAAAAACGAAGGGGACCTTGTTGTACTGACTGGTACTGAATGTAATTGCTCAATTAATGATTTTGACACTTATTAAATTTGATTAAAGATGTTTGATTCTTCACATATAATATCATCATTATGGATATTTATTTTATAGTATATACATAAAAGTTAGATGACTTATGGTTATGGTACGAATAGTTTGTTCCATATTAAAATAAAGTTGAATTAGAAATGACTTGTGGTGCATGCAAATGGATCATGTCGTTCGAAGACTTGTGACCGCCATGACTCGGTTAATTTCTATTTTAATTTTAAACATATAGATATATGTATTCAATCATAAGTTTGATGAAAAGTGCGCGCTTAAAGTAGTTCTTTGGGTTTCGACACTATATGGTCCAAATAGGAGAATGTAATAATATTTTATATTATTCTATTATTGTGGACCATATAATTAGTTGGACCTAATTGAATTAATAGTCAAACTTAATTAAAGTGAAATTTAATTTTTTATTGGTAAATTAATAAACAAACAAGCTCTTACAATTTGTAACTACATAAAAAGTTCAACACAAAAGACATGTTCAGTAATACAATCTGCACCACTAACATAAGCTAAATATATAAAAGTAAAACTAAGTACCTAATATAATGGAAGCCAAAGGAAGAGTAGCCAAGCTGAATTAAAACAAGATTAATTCATAATATGCTTCAAATAAAAATATATACTTCAAATTAAACAGGATTGATTCATCACATAATTCCAATGAAATTGAACAACATATGAATACTCTAAAGACAACAACACATATTAACTATAAACACACAAATCGTATGAAATTTAAGTAATGCAAATACATAACATCAAAAGCTCCCCAAAATCACACATAACCAACCTTAGGCAACCCAGCAACTACTACACACACTCCCACACAGAAAAAGGTACAAGAAGGTAAACAAATTATATTAATTAGCAGTTAAGAACAGTTAAATAACCTCAGTTTCAAAGCCTTTCAAGGACGTGGCGAATCATCGTACGTTGTGCCGTTTTTTCCTCCATCCGAGGTATTGGCACGACTACACTCGACGTATCTGAAGCAAGTCGCAAGGTGGTCGTTCACCAGGCCAGCAGCCTGCATGAACGAGTACACGACAGTGGGCCCCACGCAGCGAAAACCCCTCCGCATCAAATCCCGGCTCACGAGCTCCGATTTCGGCGTTTTGGTCGGGACCTGCCGCGCGTGGCGGGCCCCACTCCCAATTGGCTTGTGGTTCACGAACCGCCAGCAGTAGTTGCTGAACGAGCCGAACTCTTGCTGGATCTACACAAAAAACCCGACAAAATCCGTGTACTTTTGTTGCGAATAGTAAAAATAGTAATAAATAACGAGTTTTTTCCTTTTTTTTTTTGGCAAAATTGCCCTTATCATGACCTTTTTCGAAATTGCAATTTAATCACGAATTTTTCACTTTTGCAAATTATATCACAATCTTCAGTTTGTTGCAAATTGGTGCACCGATTTGCATATCCCCTGCAAACAATATCACAATCTTCAGTTTGTTGTTCGACCACATCAGCTTTTCTATGACTGTTTTCAGACTGTTTGCAACAAATTAAAGATTGTGATATAATTTGCAACATTAAATTGCAACTTCGATAAAAGTCGTGATATTAGGGGCAAATTTGCCTTTTTTTTAATATCTTATTATACTCCCTTGACATATAGAGTTCCATACTGCACCAGTCGAGAAAGGGTGTTCATAAAAAGGGTTATTAGTAGTAAGGTGTAAAGCAAATCAGATTTTTCTGACTTGGTTCGTTCTAAATAGAAGAACAAAGTAGTTGGATTGAACAAATTGAGGTTAGGCATGATTTTATATAATATATTAGTATCATATTTATACCTTGAGGAACTCATTAGCGTTCTCAATGATCGAACGAAGTTTGGGTTCAGAGAGCAATGTACTGCCGTGGACTCTTGTTGACAGCAATCTCTCGATATCAAGGTTTGCAACTGATGCTGGGTCGAATTCGACAAAAAGCTTTCTACAGAACGAACAATTTATTGAAATGTCAAAAAGAAAATGAAGAATGGAAGAGGAAAAGAAAAAAAAAATGATGATACTAATGAATAGGGTCTCGGAACCTAAATATTGTCCTCTTGCTAAGAATCACCGGCCATGAGAGTTCGGCAAGCGCTTGAGATAAAACCAAGAGCTCAAACAACTTGACGTCATCATGAACTGGGACACCCCATTCCTCATCATGGAAAGAAATATAAACTGATTCTGTAGAGATGGAGAATGGTATGAGATGAGTAATGGTTTTTGAAGTTATCAGCAAAGAGGCATTTCAATTAAGTCTGCACCAAAACACGCCTAAATATTGTCATTCTCAAACAACAAATTGTGAGCATTTCAAAGGTTACATTTGTATTGAAGGGTTTTCATTAGCTTTTGCCGTTTGAACAGAGGATTTGTGAGATGGATTTCTGATAACTCAATCCAAGATGACTTTTTTTTTTCTTAAATCCGCTGAAATGATTCGAGTTATAGCTAAAAGAAATTTGAAATTCATTGTCTGATTGACTATATCCACATCACCTCAATGGAGTTCACTGTAAGGGACTTGAGATTCATAGCTCCAAATGGAGTCCTATAAAGTTACTCTCAATCATTAGAATTCGATTTTCGGTGTCCCTAAAAGTCTATCAAACTTGGGCGCCATTAGCTCTCCTTGTTACCAAAAAGCTATACAATTAAAGCACCAGCCCGAATTCATATGCAACTTTTGCTCAAATCAAATTACAAAGCTCATACTTTCATACCACAATGTGTGATAGATACCAATTATGCTTTCATATTCAAATTAAAGCCCCATGAATTTCACTCATGATACTCTCAGCATTGACTGAGCAATACCCTTGAAGGCAAAGAAAGCAGCATAATTTTGGTATCAATCACAGTACAGTAAAGAAACACGGCAATAATAAAGATCCGATCTTTTGCCAAAATCCCACTCAATTAAACACCTAGAGTTAACAAAAGTCAATGCCTAAATCACAAACTATTTAAATTTTGAATTTTAAATAAAAAAATGTAACAAGAATTTACCAGAATTAGGGGTAATCCAATCGCAGCGTTTAACAGGAAGTGTAACCTCAGGATTTTGCGTCACAGCCTCAGCTCGACGAGCTACAATTTTCGAAGATTTAACACCACCGATTTTATCACTAATTACCCTCGCGCCCTTACTTTTAGCAGATTTTACATTTGAGCCACCGGACGACGAGGAGGAGGACGACGACGACGACGACGAAGAGTCTGAAGACCTATCAGCCGCAACGCCGCACCGCACGACGGCAGCCGCCGCCTCAGACTTGGCCGGCTTCGCCGGCGGCGGCGGGATGGCTTTCTTAGGCTTCGCCGTCGCCGCCTCTTTCTTCCGCCTGTGGTCTTCGAGGATCCGAACCCGGTTCCCTGTTGGAGCTAGGATGGACCGGGTTTCTGAGCCGGGTACGGGCATTTTGGCCGGTTTTTGGGAAACTGAACCAAATCTAGCGATGCTTGATATTAGAGGGCTGAGAAGATAGAGAGCTGAAAAATGGAAATGGAAAATGTTGCAGACGAAAATGAGAACCCAAAAACGGTTTTAAATATTTCGAGGCCTATTTGGGTACGGTGACCGTTGGTGGCCGGTGATTGTGATGACGTGTCACAAAATTGTAAGCATAACATGCATACATTTCATCAAATGTCATGATTAAAATAAAATAAAACATTTTGTAATGTTAGCCTAATTGTTATTTGGAATGTGGCATGATTAATCGATAGACATACCTTTGATTTTGATCAACAGATTTCAAAATACCTTCTTTTTGTAGTTGAATTTATGGAAAAAGCAAACAAAAAACGTGACATGATTTTGAATAAAGCTAGTGTAAATTCCGTTTAATCTTTATTATTTCTTAACTTTACAGCTGAATAGATAATGGGAAAAACGGCAAACATAAGTTTCAGTTATATTTGTGTTGCAGATATAGTAGTTTTTCATTTTATTTTTTAGAAAATCTAGTAATGTAACATAATAAAGTGCTTCTAGAAGTTAATGCTTTTGTTAGATAGCTTGAGTTCTCCTTCCACTTGATATAACATTAGTTAAACTAGCCATGCATGTGGTTGATTTAAATTAATCTAAAATAAAATTTAAAGGTTAAAGGTATATTTTTATAAATATTATATTTCTTAAACACCATGAGTTTGTAGATCAATAGTATTTTATCATCGTTCTATAAATATTTGGCAATTTTTTTTTTTTGGTAGGACTTTAGACCCTTCCATCAAGTCCCTAGAATGTATTAACAAAAGTCACTTCAAAAAAAATTAATTGAACATGAAGTGGGTCAGTAAATCATATAATATGTTTTGACTATAAGACTGCTGTTAGACAATTCTAACCAATAGCATAAATACAAACATGCCATAGCATAAGTATGTCTTTTTATTTTTTATTTTTTAAAATAATGGATAAATCCATCTAACCAATAGGCCTGCATGATTTTGTGAACTCTTAAAAGGTAGTAATACTTAGTGCAGTTGTTACGTGGATTGTGGATAACTTAGAATATTAAGTACAACGAATCATAAAACTAGCCACAAATGAAGCACAAAACAAGACAAATGTACTAACCAACTTTCACATTACCAACTCCATAAAGTTAAATTTGGTACAAAAATGTTAGCAATGGTGGGGACTTTGATTAGATTAAGGACATTTGGCTGCTGGCTGAAAGTCATAGTCATATTGGGTAAGGCTGTTTGGTAGTGGCTATTTTACCGTTGCCGAAAGGAATAATTTCCACTCTCCACCAGCTGAAAAAAGCGCCAACCCAACGGCTACTAACTATGACCGGTCCTCCTCATCATGTACAAACATGTTTGTACTTTTTAGGGGTGGTTGACAATTGTATTTAGGTTTTGACTTGCTTTTGGGTGATCAAAATCTAATTATATTGTCTTCATATTTGAAAATTTGTTGTGCCAAGGTAAGACAAACGATTAAAGTCGGAATAGTTTGGTCTACACGGACTTGAAGCGATGGTAGTATAGCGTTGATATGATGACATAATGTTAAATTCAAACATTTTGTGAAATTTTAGGAGAGAGATGTAGTTTGCCTCGGACAAAGTATCTATATGATTACTAAGATTAAGATTTATGTTGAGTATGTTCTAAACTTTAAATTTATTTTGAATTTGGAAGAAACTATTTTTCTAGGATGCTTGATGAAATTAATTATACTTTGTTGATATTAAAGTAAAGAAACTTTAAAAGGTAATTGGTGATGCGTGCTTGTGTTAACTCGTCAATAATTTTAAATCAACTATTTTGGGTGTATATATGAACTAAAACTTATTAGGTGTTATATAGTTGGAAAAATGCTTGAAGTTGTCAGAAAAAAAAAGCTTTAATTGAGTTTTTATGCTTGACAAAATCTAGAATTACAAGTACGGCAGACTTTCTATTTATAATAGCTTCCATTTTATCTCTTTAGTTAGTTCTACTTGATGATTTCTCATTGGTCTCCAATTGCTGGTTTGAATTCTGATTGGCGGTTACAACCGTGAATGGGGCTGAAGGATGCAACCCGCCATTTAAAGGAAGGGGCCTTACGATATATGTGACATTTTGATCCATCGGTCCTGTGTTTGGCTCGGATATTCTTTATGCAAGTCGAAAGGCTCTGCTCGGTTACTCTCCGGCTTGACTTTTCCTCTTTCGATTACAATTTGGTTCAACCATTTTATGTTCTTCTAGTTTTACATGATTACTTTCTATTTGGCAACCTCTCGCCTTTCTATCTAACTCTTTGTTGGCCATCCTTTGAGGTCCGCCTCCCCATATGACTATGTGACATCAAATGTCATATCACATTACAGTTAATGAAATAATATAGTACAAGTATATAACCATACAACATATATCTATAAACAAAATATGGAGATTCCAAATATATTTTAGTTACATTTATATAGTTCATACTTGTGAGAGCACATTCAATAAGAAATATAGTCGGACTTGTAGATAGTGTCGATCTCCTGCTCACATTAATCATTAATTAATATATCTATCAATTTATGTGACGGGAGATTAACATATCATACACGGCTGGTATGATATTCAATTATCAAAAAATCTTGATACTTGACTGATGTAGATACTTTAATGAGTTCAGGATGATGGGTATGTGATATTTCAGATGGATGATGCACAATAACTCTTTTAAAATAGAGTTTGGTATATCTAGACGAATGCCATAAAAGTTTAACTTATTCTTTTCAGTAGTGCAAATAATGTTGTACCTTGGCACAACTATACATGTTGGTCATACAACTTTAGTAGGCCATTTACCGATCATCTTCACAATCCCATTTTGATGTTGGGCTTCCACACAAGGGTTGCAGTTATCTTTCCGGCCCAACTTATTATCATTTGGAAAATATTTGCACCACTGTTTTGTAACTTATTTTAACAAGTATGCATGTATTTAGTAAACATATAAGTCACCTTATAACTTATTTGATTAGTTTATAAATTTCTTGAATAAGATTGGTTTGGTAGGACGAGTTTTTCTTTTAAAAATTCAAGCTTATCTCATAAGCTTACTTGGTAGCTTTTCAAATAAGTTCATTGAAATTCTTATTTTAATAGCTTATCAGTTAATTTTACCAAATATTTTTTATTATATAAGCTAATTTTTCGGCCATAAGTCATAAGCTATCAGTTATAAGGTCAAATCCATTTAAAAACTATAAATTATCTCATCAGTTGGGTTAATCAAACATAGTCTATATCTAAATCAACGTTATAAAAGTAGCTAATGGGTGGTTATTAGCGAAGAGACGAAGCTTAACTAATCGAGGCCTAGACGAGATTGTAAGCATTTTAATATTTTTATATTTATTGTATATATAATTTATAAGTTACATTATTTAATATATATTTATAATTATTGAATTAGGTTTAATGTATCTATTAAATTTTAAAACTTTAATTGATATTTTATTATAAATGAGCTTAGTCGACTGAACACCTAAGAAGGTTATGTAGAAAAAAATCGTGATGCTGTAATGCAACCTAGGAGCTCGCTCATCTAAACAAGTTATGTGATTTATGGAATAAAATAGTAAATTGCAATTTTAGTCATGTATGTTTTATTATAATAACTTTTTCGTTTCTTTCGAACTGATTTCTGCTTTTCGTCCATGATATTTGCAAAAAGGTCTTGCAACTTTTTTTGCAAAACATAAGGAACCTTTTTGTTGCGAAAATGACATTTTTGTAACCTTTTTACAAACATATGGAACGGAAATAAAAAAAAAATTCGAAGAAGANAAAAAAATAATTTAAGTAAGATAAAATAGAAATATATATAATATATTGTCCCATCATACTATGTAATATTTATTATTATCACCAGTGTAATTTTTGTTTGGTCTAAATAGTATAACTCGATGATGAGTCATCTTTCAGACCTGGATCGAACCGATTGAAATGAGCTCCGATCCATCTGAACGTTCACCTATTTATCCGCAAGAACTCAACGCCGGAGGAGTTTCTGGCGCAGAGCCTCTGATGTCTAAGTCAGTATCAGGAAAATGATGATGCTCTGTGAGTGAGAGCTGTCTATAATGTATGGAGAATGTAAAAGTTGAGATTTGGTGATGTTGGTGTATATACTGAAAGCTTGGCTTTAAATGTATTTACACTGAACCCGTTTGAATGAGAATCATGTTTTATTAAACAAGTCTATGTTCTGTTGTTTTGCACTTAGATAGAATAGGTCATCATCGGTTGAACATAAGATCATTCTATCAGTTACTTGCGAAACAAGAATAGTTGGTTCACAACCTAGATGGAAATGAACAACCCATCGTGAACGGTTGTAGAGTTAATTGTGCAGTTGGTCTTGACTGATTAGTTACACTAGTACACTTTGTGTATTTAACGGATCCCAGAGAGGGGAATGTCGTTTTATACTGATCTTTGTAAACGAACTAGGTCTCGGTTAATTACTGTGCACTCTTTTTACTAGATCAATATACTTACTGTTTTGAGTAATATTATTGTATGTATGATGTGTTGTTAGAATATTTACGGTCACCGTGTGCGATAGTTTGATGGTGTCCCAGAGATGAGATCGTGAAGGATTATTATGTTAAATCTGGCCAGTGGAATTTATTCTGACATAATAATAATGCGATGAGTGGTATTAGTCTCGGTTGTAGATGTAGATTAATTTAATTATCAGCAATTAAATTAATTGATGAATATTATATCTTAAACACAGGAGATAAATCGAGTAATTATTATTGGAGCCTCGAATATAATTCAGGAATTAAATTGGGAGTTTATTCAATAATACTACTTTAGTGGAATGGATGTATTATTCCTATTTGGGTTTGGTAGGCTTGACCTATAGTCTAATCCTAATAGGAGAAACCCAATTTAATACCTCATTAGGGTCCCTGTTGTAGGCTATAAATACATCACATCTCTTAGGATTAGGAGATAGATGAGATAATTGAGATTCACGTGTAAAAACACGCCGCCCCTTCTCTCTGTTCTCTCTCTTATGTTCTCTTCTTCTTCTCCAAGTAATCCAGTAGAGATATCTCCGATTTCATTGCTTGTTGGGATTTGTGAGGATCTCGACAATGTGCAAGTCACGGACTATCTACGAATTCAACGGTTTGCTTTGAACCCTCGCTTTTAGTTCTGGTGCGCATAGAGTTTAATTCGTAGATAGTCCGTGACTTGCACATTGTCGAGATCCTCACAGATCCCAACAGGTGATACCTTAGCCCTGTTTATTATGATCAAGTGCTCACGGGCAGCTTGCTCGGATCTCCATGCTTATTCGTATCCTAATCACTTCTTAGTCATTCTAAGATTCTTTCTTATCCTTTTAAGATTCATCCCTATCCCTTATACCCATTTCATATCAAGCCACGATTCACTAAGGGCTTCTACCTCGAGTCGCGAGACGAGTTAGGTCGTCTTTAGGTGTTAGAGGTCGACTTACACGATTTCTCGAGGATCAAGTTACTTGATGTCCTCTTGTGAGGATCAAGCTATTCTATGCTCAAATCGTCACTTACCAAGTCGTTGACAGAAACTGGGGTGAAAAACGGTTGCGGGCCCACTACTAAGCGCACCATGGGAAAACGGGAAAAGCTCGTATGAAGCTAAAATGAGGTTCCATCCCAAACCAATTGGTGGAAGGACGAGTAGCCCATTAGACTTATAAGGTGGGTCTATTTTCCATGTATGAACGATATGGGACAACTCACAAGTAATATTCTAACAGTCGTACTCACAAGTAATATTCTAACAGTCGTACTCACAAATAATATTCTAACAGTCGTTGACTTCAGGCCGACTCTAAGGTTCTCTGACTCATGCTACTAGCCTTTGAGTTATTCCAGACTCTCAAGTCGTCTCCTATGACGAAATCGTCATACTTAGAACTTTCCTCAAGTCGACCGACCTAGGTCGACTTATAGTCCAATCGAACTTCTCATACTTAACCCAATCTATGTAACCGACCATGGCCCCGTTTGGTAGATAGCGGATTGAAGATAAATTAGCGGATTGGACTTAATTGAGAGGTTTGACCCGTCAAATCTACTATTGAGCTTGTTTGGTAAATAGCTTATTTGATAAGCTTTTTGGGCCCAAAACTCTAATTTAGAAAAAGCTCATTAGAGCAGTTTTTTGAGATAGAGGATTCACAATTGAGAGGTTTTACTTAAAACTTTTTAATTTGTCTTATTTATTTTACAATCTACATTGGTTTATAGAACTAATAAATAATAATATGTCATCCATATGATTAATTTATCTAGAAAAATATAAAATTCATAACTTCTTCATCAAGTGTTAGTAAATTTAAAAAAATATATATATTTATAAATTACCAATTAAAGAATATTAAATGTTTTAATATATTATTATTAAAAGAATACACCCTAAATAATAAAATGTCTTTATTGGTCATTTTGCAATGTCAAACAGCTATAAGCTTTCAGCTATTTACCAAACACTTATTTAAAAAACCTTAATGCAATCTGCTGGTCAAATCACCTAATATAATCCGTTATTTGTCATCCGCTGAAACAATCCCGCTATCCGTTATCCGCTGACCGCCCATACCCATCGATAATTGGAGCTATATGGCATTGGCACGCATATCAAGATGCCATAAAATAAATTTCATAATATAAAAATAAAAAAAAAATATCCGTAACTCCGAATTTTTTTATTTTTTTTTCCAAAACTTTGATGCTATTTTCTTCTTCGGCACCATCTTCTTCACACTTCCATGGATCCCAACCCCTCAATTTCCGATCCCAAACCCCAAAACCCTAATCCCCCGAGCAGGGATTTCCTAATCCACCTCGAAATCTACCTCGCCAAGCGCGACGGCGTCGACAAGCTGCTCAAGATCTCCCGCTACGCCGCCAAGATCGCCCTCGCTTCCTCCCTCCTCGACCCGCGGCATCCCGCCGCCGCCCGCCTCAAATCCTTCGAATCGAGCGTCGGCGTAAGCCGCAAAGCCTTCCGCATCGGGAAATTCGTCCAGGACGTCAACGCCCTCAGGTCGGCGGCGCACCTCGCCTCTCACTCCCACCTGGGCCTATTCCTCTCACTGGTCGCCCACGGCGGCGAGGGGCTGTACTACTTCGTCGAGCAGTTCGTTTGGCTGGGGAAAGCCGGCCTGATCGACCGGCGGCGGCTGCCGGCGCTGCAGAGGCTGAGCGCCTGGTGCGAGTTCGTCGGGTACTTCGGGAGCGTGGGCTTGAAGGTGATGGAGTTGAGGGGAATCGAGGAGGAGGAGAGGTGCTTGGCGTCGAGCATCGATTTGGCGGTGGTGAGAGGGATCAAGTGCGGGGAGGAGCAGGGTAAGCTGCGGAGGTTGAGGGAGAAGAAGGTGATGAAGTGGCTTTCGGTTGTTCAGGATTTGGCCGACGGGCTAATGGCTCTGGCGGACATTAGGGATGGCCGAGGGCGGCTGTCGGCTCCAATCCTTTTGTCGTCTGCCGGGCTGCTGTCGGCATTGATCAGTACTCATAAGAATTGGGTTTCGTGCTGATTTAGGTTTTGTTTTCCTCTTGAGGTATGGTGATTATTTATTGAATTCTGTTGTGCATCTGGTTTGAGGAATGATGGAGATTAGAGAAAAAGAAATAATATAAGAGTTGTTTTGATCATTTGAAATGGCTATAGATTCTGAAAACTTGCTATCTGCAGAAATAAATAAGAGTTGTTTTGATCATTTGAAATGGCTATAGATACTGCAAAATTTGTTATTTGCAGGGTTTTAGTTGACTAACGATGATCATCAATAAAGATTGTTGCTTTATGTCATATTATGAGGAGGAGAACTATCTGTTGTTTTGGGTTGACAGAGAAAATGTTGGGTGTAGGTGTAGCAAATAGAAGCTGAAAAAATGAGTAATTAAGAAGAAAATGAAAAGGATGGCTTAATGAGTAACTTGCTTCTTGTTCCTGTCTACTTGTTAAATCTGATACGACAAATTCAGGAAGTTGTTTAGTGATATGAGATTTCGTTTCTAATCGAGAATTGGTGTTTATATGGGTTTTACTTAAATTATGGTACTAGCATTATCAGGGACTTGGTTCTGATTTTGAAACTTTACTCAGATCAAAGTTCGTTTGTGATTGTTTTTCAGTTTTGCACTACTCCTGTTGCCATGTGACATTCCTTAATAGAGCTTGCAGAACAAATGTAAACTGTCATATGCATTCTTTCAAACTGCAATTTCACTCTAATTAACACCATAAATGAAAGTATGATGTACTTTTGTTAAAATATAGTATGTTGATCGACCAACCCGAAGATTTGGCTGTCTTACATTGTTACACTGTTGCACAAGAATTTGTTTTTCTTTATGAAAAAGTTGGTTTGTTGAATGTTGGGGCATGGTTCATAAGAGTGGAACTATTTTGGATTTCAGAATTCATGTTGGAAAAGCATTGAAATCTACATTGAAAGGCCTCCAAAAGAACGAATAGAAATGGATGAGGAGACAATTGGGCATGAGAATAGATTGTTTAGTGAAGTTATTCTTTGGGGAAAAATCCACCAAGCTCAAAAAAATTAATTGAAATAATAAATACTTTATTAAGAGCAATAATATATATTTTCAACGTAGCAAGCTTGTACAATTTATGGGTTTCACATTTCAACATTACTGTTTCTTTTCACTTTTGAAGAAACTGGATGGGCTGTGATGCTACGCTAAGGTCCCGTTTACTCGGGGGGAGATAATAAGATTAGTTTATCCTACTGGAGATTGATTTATGATTTATCTCATGTTTACTGTTGATGATTGCCACTTTTTTTGTTTAGTTGAGTGGGTATAATAAGATTAATTTATTCTACTGTATTGTTGAGATTGATTTACGGTTTATCTCATGTTTATGATTTCTAATATCCGGGCCAAAACAAAACAAAACAAAACTAATAAACATGGGATATCCTTGATATCCTAGCTAATAAAGTCTTATCCTAGGAGCATCTCCAATGTGTAATGTTGTAAGTGAATAAATTTTACCATGTGTCAATTAAAGAAAGGTTATGTGAATCCCCATCACATGAAAGTTGAGTCCACAACTTCTAAAATTTTAAGTCTTCCTTAATGCACAATGTGAATAACTCCTAAATACTATGATTTTTTAAAAGTTTTTTATTTTGGGCTCAAATTTTCAATAAGCCTAAATTTTGGTCCCCTTTTTGTACAAAGAAAAATTAACAATCAATCACCACGTAAAATAAAAACAAATTAATAAAACACTCCATGTACCAGCAAAACATGAAAATATGAGAACAAAGTTTGGACAATATTTGTAAATTTTTCTAGCAACAAAAAACACTCCTTCATGTACCAGTTTTACCAAAGGAGCTCCTCAACTGCACCTATATAACTCAACTCATCAAAAGAGCTATAGCAACAAACATTCGATTTTTGCAGTAGCTTTAATCTGTTTGTTCAAAAACTCAACAACTTATGAAAAGCAATAACACAAGTTCCCCATATTCCATTTCGTTGGCTACTGAAATAGATCTAAACGGATTGTCTGGTACCCCCGGCTTCTAAAATGAATTTCAAAGAATATCAATGAAAGGCCAAGATGTAGCCTGTGCGGAGCAAGCTGGAACTGGCTGAGATGAAGAAAATGTCGACACCGATGAAATGTTTGAAAACATAGACAGTGGAAGAAGTCAATCTCAATTCGATCTAGCAAGAAATGCTCTACCGATAAAGTAAAGCGAGAGAGCTCATTAAGAAGGCCATCTTCCATCCGGTGAGCTCCGTTGGGTAAGAACTCTCCAATTGGTTTCTCCTTCTTCTTCGCTTCTTCCGTCCTTTCGTTCTCATCTTCCCCTCTTTCAGACTTTCGCTTGAAGGCCCTAATCTCGAGCCCCGTCATCAATAGGCCCGTATCCCCGCTTTGAATCAAGATAACACAGAACTCAGGGCACAAAAAAATGCTCTGCCCATCATAAATCAGAGAAGCTTAGCAACAGATTATCTACCAAGCAAGCACACTCTAACCATACCTCAACAACAACTGGACAAACAAGATGATTAAAGATCGAATCTTTATTCAATTTCTTTTAACAAAAAATTGCATCTGACCCCTCTTATCACATGTTATCCCAAAAAGAAATCAAATGGTTGTCCAAATAGTGACCTAACTTCGACCCATGAATTAGTCAAACAATCTTCTCAACCAACGGGGAAAACTCATACGCATAAATATTTGAACATTTTCATTCAACTAAATTCAATTCAAATCAACCAAATCCTACAATAATTGAACATCATCCATGAAAAGGAAAATAAAAAGTGAATCGGTATATAGAATGAAGAAAGAAAGAGACTCACGTACCAGAAACTTTTTGTTGAATCTGCAATTGTGTTTTCTCGGCTAAGTAATTCCCAGCAAAGTAGTCCTTGGTTCAGTTGTGCGAGAGGAAATTGCAATTGCATGATTAGTATTATAATTTTTTCCCTCAAATTTTCAACGATTTTGAGAATTTTGTTTGCCCCTTCTCCCCAAATTGGCTGAGTCATCCTGTAGAGAAGGGTGTAGATATTCCACAGTCTCTATCACAGTGTAGAGGCCAACTCAACACAACATTTATCTTTTATATTACCATTGGAAGACAAAATGTGATTGATATTTAATAATTTATTACGTGGCATATTTTTCACCACAACAACATACCACATTGGAGATGCTCTAATGTCAATGAGACTTATTGGATTAACTAATATTTATTTAATCATTAATTTTAGTTTCAATAGATGTTATTTAAACTAATTTACAAATAGTGGATAGGTTGATAACAAAGAATTGTAAATGTGATAGCTTATAAATATGTATTTTGAGTAATGCTACATTGCCAACTTAGTATACAACTAGGTTGACAACACAATTTTTTTTTTCCGGAACGATAGATGTACTATAAAAAGCACAAAAGTGCAAAGAGAACACCGTCAATCGACTTGGGAAAGGGCACCTCGTCGATCCCACGAATATGGAACAGGCCAACGAATGGAGACGAGCGCAAGTCCGACTTGAGTGAGCGGCGGAGGCCGTCGACCGACGGCTCCGGACCGCCGTTAAGGGGGCGACGACACTGCACGAATTGGGCGACTAGGGTTTAGACGGATTTTGGGGATTTTGGGCGACGGTAAGGGGCGACTTCTTTTGATAAAAATAAATTGTTATGTATATTTATAACCTAGTTGTACACTAGATTGGTAATATAGTGTGATTGTCCTCTTGGTTAATTTGACAAACTTAAAATGACCACCCCAAATTTTTTCCGCCCATTTTATTTTTCATTTAATTATAAAAAGTAGTTGTTATATTTCGCATTAATTAAGTGTAATAGTATATTTGTTTTACCAATATATCATACAATAATTACTATTAAAATAAATTATTTGTAAATTCATACTATAGAAAAACTTTTCTTTAACCTATTTATTTAAAAAATAATATTTTTTTGGTATATTTTTTTTATCTTATTAAGCCATTTTTATTAAATAGGTAATTGATTTTAATAGCATAGTAAACCAATTAGAATAACACAAGTAATTTCTACAACAACAACAACAATAATATATTTCAATTAATTAAGCTCTTAAGTTTTTAAAAACTACATTATTCATTACATTTATATAGTGATTCATATATAAATGTAAAAGTTGCTGCTTATTTTTACTAATAATCAAATTGATAAAATGTAATGTGCCCATTATCTAACTTATGATTTTAAATGTAATTATCTATACATATAATTTATAATATTCTATTCGTGTATGTGCTTTTGCACAAGATCAAATAGTAGTAAGACCCAGTGTTCTAGAAGTTGCTAGGCGCCCCTAGGCGCTCGACCAACGCCTAGCACCTGGAAATCAAGATTAAATACCTTTTTATTTATTTATTTATTTTCACTATCTACAAAATAAAATCATCCCAACTTATAACGAATCAACATACATAACTCCAAATAATAATATTAATATATTATAAAGAAAATATGATAACAAAATAATGTAATAAGTATTTTAAAAAAAAAATTGCCACTAAGCCCACCTAGGAGCGCCTAGGTCCGTCTAGGCCCGCCTAGGCGCCGCCTGGCCGCCGATGAGCGCCTAGGTCCGCCTAGGCTGATTTTTAATACAGTAGTAAGACCTCGATTGGATACATATTAGACCAAATAATTTTGTAGCCCAAAATTTAACTCAACCCAACACATGTCAATATTATTAATTTAATCAATCTATCAATCGTCCTCACACATCACATCAACTTTAATTCACTATTAACTCACTCACATAATTTTAATGATTCATTACTTCCAATCACCTCTCTCATACTTTTTAGATCAAATCAACTTTAATCATTATATTTCAAATATTATTTTAATTTAAAACTCAAAAATTCGTTCAAACTTAAATCAATCAATTTTTTCAAAGTTAACTTTGATTATCCAACAAATCGCCCTTATATACAATTATCGAATGCGCTGAGCATAAGTGGCAGACTCGTATCTTTCGTAAGCTTATTTGGCATAAATTTGTGCTCCGTATTGACAAATATATATGTTTGATTTTGACTAAGAGTTACCATAAACTAATTTTGCTTTCCTTTTTTCTTAAGTTACTATATACTACTCTTATATTTTCTTATTTAATTCATATATTATTTATCATAAATTAGTATTCTTTTTTCTAATATTATAACTTTTTTATTTGTATTTTATTTTTTATATGATATATCTCAAAATAATCATATATTATGGATGTTCAATTTAACAACTATATTGCATAAATAAAAAAAATTATAAATAAAATAAATTTTATTATCAAATCAATTAAAAAATATCAAATAACAATATATATTATTTTATAATATTAATAGAATTTTAATTCATCAATACATCATAAAATAATCAATTTAATGTGTTCTTTCCATATATTTTGGAGAAAATGTGATAACTACATAAAATAAATTATAAGAAATATTATAAAATATTATTTATTGATTAAAATAGATTGTCTAAGGAACTAAATATTATTATGTTGTTTAAAATTAAATATAAAGAAATATCATAATTAAATATAATAAAATAATTTTATGTTTCATAAGTTTAGTAAATAATTTATTTTTTGCGTAAATTAATATTCTAAAATTAAATTATATAATTTTAAAATATTTGAAAAGTTAATAAATGAGAGACATCAGCTCTAATAATGTAAAATATAATCACAATACAATGAAATATTTGTTTTTAAAAAATTCAAATCAAATATATTAGTCGTAAATAATATTCTCTTTAGAAATATATAATTTTTTAAAAAATCATTTTTGACAAATTTAGTATAAAGTTATGACCATCATTTTGAATTAATTACACTTTGTTATTGTTGTATTTTCATATACATAATTTCACAATAAAAATGTAAATTATTTTAATTCGTTATTGTACAAATATTAATATATTTAAATATCCGTGTAATACACGAGTATTGTATTAATTCAATTAAAACCAAAAACAACTTACAATCACCCTTAATTAATAATTATACAACCAATTACCTATTTGCAGTAAATCGATTAATTAATTAACTCAATAATATTATACGTCCTAAACCCCAACTGCTACGAAGCAGAATATGGTCCCACTTATATGCAACCTAACTACAGTTAAATTCGAGACCACACCACATCTTACACTGCGCCAGCACACACGTTCGACAAACCATTTTCTTCTTACACGTCGCGACCGCCACGCGCCCCCTGCACCAGTTCTCCCGCGCGTCAAAGTCACCGCCCAACCAGATCTGCCCCAAATCCAATCACAACTCTGATTTCTTCTTCTCTGATTTCTTCTTCCCCTCAGAGCACAAAACACCCAACAATGGCTGCCCACTGAAAAAAAAAAATAAAATACCCACATATGAGGAGGCGACTAAGGAATTCATCGCATTCTCCAGTACATTAATTCCGAGAAAAAAACAGAAATCAAGAAAAAAAGATGGATTCGGAGCTTAAAGTCCTGACTCCACAGTCCGCTGCCCGGCAGCCCGAGCCCGACGACAGCCCCCTCCTCAATCGGGAACCGAAAACCCCCGACACTCCGACGCAGATCACGCTGAGCTTCGAGGAATTGGAGAAGAAGTACGCCCCATATGTCCGGCACGACGCGTACGGCATCATGGGGCGCGGCGAATTGACGTGGTCGGAAAACTTCTTGCTCGGCATGGGTTTGGTGTTCTTGGTTCCGATTAGGGTCGTGGCGGGGACGGCTATACTGGTGTTCTATTACATGATCTGTAGGGTTTGTACGGCGTTTATGGCGCCGAACAGGGAGGACGAGCAGGAGGATTACGCGCACATGGGCGGCTGGCGGAGGGCCGTGATTATGCAGAGCGGTAGATTTTTGTCGAGGGCTTTGCTGTTTGTTTTCGGGTTCTACTGGATAGCTGAAACCAGTAGGAGCAATGTGGATGAAGGGCACCTGGATAATGATGAGGTACTGGTTTTCCTTTCTCTTTATTCCCTCTTTTCTGTGATTTGATGGGGTTGTTTTTGTTTACACTCTGATGATATGCATTTTTGGGTTTTGAGTGGCATAATCGTGTGATGGGTATTCGGCGGTTACTTTGCTCGTTGTGATTTTGGATACTTGAGCTTTGTGTGGTATGAAAAATCCTGAATAGGATAGACAAAGTTAAGGTTTTGAATGTGATAGGTTTAGAATATGAATGAAGGCATTGCATTAAGTATGATGCTAAATGGGAAAATGATTTCAACTGTCACATAGTCAGAATGGGTAAAAATTGCTCCTTTAGGTATTGGTTTTAAAAGAACATATTGTCTGATCATGCCAACTTGTTCTTGGAGGTGGCTAGCAATTAATTTTGATGCGATTGAATATCTGATTTCATGTGTCATTGCCATTTATGCAACAGTTGAGAAATTGAATTATGCCCTTTATGGCCTTGAATTACCTGGGACTTATTGTTATGCACATGGTTACATAGCTAGTGCTTGGATTTTGGATTTTTTAGGAGTCCCTGTTTGGTTCCTTATTAATAAGTTATTGAAAGGTAGTATAAATATAATTACAATATCAAAGTAAAGCTCGCAACTTTGTTTATAGTCAAATGCTTGTATCACTTGAAATGGCAGATCATGTCCCAGCACCACTTTAGATATTTGTAAATATTAGGTATATATTAATTTTCATTTCACGTAAGATGCCTATAGTGTTCTTCTTGTTCAATATTTTTGGTTTACCTACGTTGATCTCTGTTATGAGACTTCATGAAGATTTGGTTCTTAAATTCAAGGAATAATTGTGTTAGGTCATTTATGTTCATAATGTGCCATATCCATTTTATGCTCTTCACAAATTTTTCAGAGTGCATCTGAGAATCAATCTAAAGAATTGGAAAGACCTGGGGCTATCATATCAAATCATGTTTCCTACATAGATATTCTATATCACATGGCTACCTCTTTCCCAAGCTTTGTTGCTAAGGTTAGTTAATTCTCAAAATGAACTTCTGTTAGTACAAAGCTATCAATATTATTCGTTCTTTACACTACACAACTAGACTGACTCTTGTTACTGTTTTTTTGTTGATTGTGCTTTATTTTTGTTGCTGAAGAGATCTGTGGCTAAACTTCCTCTTGTTGGTCTCATAAGGTTGGTTGATTTCTGCCATTTTTGGCTTGACTTTCCACAAGAAATTGTGTATTTCGAATTATCTTATATTTTCAATCTGCTATACCCTGATAACATGTTTATTGCTACAATTGCTTATTAACCTCAACGTATTTTGGGTCCTTTGCTTCTGGGTGTGGTGTAGGTGATTGGAAATATGAAATTGGTCGTTCAGAAGACGTTTCTATATGACTTTTTGCGATCTGCATTTCTCTGATATTGCATTATAAGACCACTCGTGTGTAACTAGTGTTCTTAGACTAGCTTTTTGAATCTTCTTTTTTCCTCATATTTCAAAGCTAATTCCTACTAGTGTGCGGATAATTGTTCCTTCCTCATTATGAGCATAGATAATGATTTTGCCAATCAAGTATGAATGACTGTATATATTGGTTTCTCTTTGCTGTCTCACTTTTATAGATATTGATAGATTGAACGTGTCATGCCTGTGGTTACTAACATTCACATCAACATGTACCCTTTTTTCTTTTATGCATATTAAATTTCTCAGGTATTTGTCTTCTTAAAGGGTCCTAAGCTGTTATTTGTTTCGTTTACAGTAAATGTCTTGGTTGTATCTATGTACAGCGAGAGTCAAAATCATCAGACTTCAAGGGTGTTTCAGGTATTTTTGCTACATTGTTTAATATTTAAGCAGCTGCACTAATATATTGATTTAACCAAAGTAGGGGAGATGGATGTTAGAAATGGTTTGCCTTGTAGGTGAAAATTCGTTCTTGAGAAATGGAAGATAAATATAAAAGAACATAAACCGAGTTCTATATAATTGGATTTTTGTTCTTTCCTTCTTTTTTTTTTTATTTTTTTTTTTATTTTCATGTTATGGATACCAAAACATATCTGGAACCATCATTAACAGAACCTTAAAACCAAAACTACGTATTGTTATGTGCGCTATTCTCTTACCGGTTTGTGGCCTCGAAACCCTGTAATTATATATTACATTAGTTTGAAAACAAGGAGAATTAAGGGATCACTTGGCAAGTATTATTTCGTTTTTTTTTTCTACAATGTTAAGAATCTTGGCAGTCTATTTTGTGACCGTTGATGTTTACAGGTGTTGTCAATGAAAGAATTCGAGAAGCTCATCAAGATAAGTCTGCTCCAAAGATGATGCTTTTCCCAGGTGTTGTTTTTGCTACTATTGTCAACTTCATTAATTGAATCAGTCTACTTGTTAACTGTCTGAAGGGGAAAAACAATTTTCCTTTCAAAAGATTTTATACAAATTGTTAATCGTACATTGATAGAACAGTTCACTTTTTTGTACTGTACATGAAAACTAATGGAACATCAGTAGGGAAATCAGTTTGCTTTATGGCTTATGCATTACTTAATTTTTGTTATGCCATGAATTTTTTGACCGATAGATAGAAGTACTTTTCTACCCTTGGATGATCTCCTATTTTGTTCCTCTCAACAGAAGGTACAACCACCAATGGAGACTATCTTCTTCCATTCAAGAGTGGTGCATTTCTGTCAAAAGCTCCAGTTCTTCCTGTTATTTTAAGATATCCTTATCACAGATTTAGTCCTGCATGGGACACCATATCCGGGGTCAGTTATGTTTGTGTCGGTATTTTAATTTTAACATTTTGTTTTTTCGAAAAAGAAACCAGTTACTTTTGCATGTTGTTTTTAGCTGATCTATAATGTCAGAATTTGTGAATCTGTTGAAAATAAACATTCAATTAAAAATTTGATTACTTTTTAGCTTAGCACTGACCTGAGATTGAGATACAACTTATTTCTACAGGCCCGTCATGTGGTTCTTCTTCTCAGTCAGTTTGTAAATTACATTGAAGTGACACGATTACCTGTGTATCATCCCTCAGAACAAGAAAAGCAAGACCCTAGGCTATATGCAGAAAATGTTCGAAACCTGATGGCTCGTGAGGTAAATTTTTTTAGTGTCGAATTATGACCAAACCAAGGATTCATGTAATCCAATTTACCAGTTTCTGGTGTTCTTACAAAATGTTTGTATACAATGTGTCAATATGTTATCTTTATAGCTAACTGCAATGTTTTCTTGGAAATGGCTTTTTTTTTTCTTTTTTCGCCAGGAGAACTTAAGCGTTAACTTCCTCCCTGAATCCTGGTTAAGAACGGAAAAAAAAAAATAAAAAAATCTTAATCTTCATATATTAATATATATTATTACTTGAATATAAAAAATAATCTTCATATACCATCACTTGAATTTCACTATTTACCTAACATCAACCTGCAGTG